ATATATATAAAACTACATTAGTACCGCTACATAAGTTTACGCACACCTTGCAATTCTTCACCTTCCATGAGACAATTTCACCCTCACTGCTCAACTCTTCAGTGTTCCTTCTTAAGAAAAACGTATCGCATTCAACGGATACTCTCCAAAACACTTCGCAAGCCACGATCTTATCATCGAAACCAAAATCATCTACTGACAAACTAACTAATCTGTCAACTTTTTAGATGAATTCACAAATAATATCATTTGCTCAAAAGAATGCGAGATTGTTTCACGACACCAACAAGAAAACAATCGCCATCAGACATGAACATCATCAATGAGAATAGACATCTTCTACAAATGTACCTTTCTTCGAATTCATTGTGTCCGTTTCTACAGGCTGTGGAGTGGGTTTTAAGTGATGCGTGACAGGTTGTGGAGGAATGGGTGGCGCCGGAGTGACGGACGCAGTTGATGTCGAAGCACGCGGAGCTAGAAATGAATGCGATCGGGCACTTTTTGGTGATACTGCTTTCGCAGCTGCAATGAAGCTCTTTTTTTGATGGAACACTGCGATCAGTTTAAATGCAAGAATTCGGAAAGGAAATGCCCAAAAAGAATAATACATTTCTGAGAATGAGTCACAAACGCATCCATACACAATAGCATATGATAAATAAAGATTGAATGACATATGCAAAACTACTGAAGGCCAGTGAAGACTGAAACTTTGGATGACAATTAGTTTCTGTGATACTTTCTAGATCATAAGCTTGTGCTATTAATAATCTAATCAAGACATAACTCACACTCATAGACAGATTCTNTGAATGTTAGATAATGCGCCGAAAATTTCATACTTTGTAAATCTGCACATAGAATATGCTCAATAATAATACACCGCAACAGAAGCACGAAGAAGCACATGATCAAAGTATAATGCACTGAATTGAATAGATGCTTTCTGGCTTTATCGCACCTTGATCAAGCCATCGTATTGATAAACTGATCATTCAAGTGGAACAATGAAAAATCATCAAAATTCGTCTCAAGCGACGCAATTCACCAATCATATTCTTACACCAATACATTATTTTTGAGAGATAAGCATCGCCTTTGCGGCATTTTTCTTACGGAATGAATTCAATCAAAAACGATTGTTGATTCAAGATGGATCGATAGAAATAAAAACGAACACACAATACTGTACAGTATAATAAAGCGCAAATGGAATGAGAGAATGAATAAAAAATTTGATTGTCAGAGTCAAATGCAAACGACTGCCGATATGAACGATCCGAAACAACTAATACCATTCACAAGCAATGAGCAAACACTAATCAAAACACTAATCTTATTGTTAGACAATAATGCACAAGGAACTTCATACCTTGCAATTTTTAAAATACACTGCTTCAGTCATTCAAACATGAAACAACGAAATCTGTACTTACCTCCAAGTGAGGCTAATGCATTCGCTAAAGTCTCACGATCAACCAGCGCAGTAGGTTTCCTAACCTGGCCACCTGCGACTACAATTGGTTCTGAAACATCCAACAATTTGGCGAACAATACATTCCAATACATCTGCAGATGAACAAACAATGACTTTACCAATTCTATAGATCATGCTAAGTGAACGTTTAGTGTGGAATTGTCCGTTTTTTTCTTTGGGAGCGGGGGAAATTCGCTTGATGCGCTTACTATGGAATGGAAACGATCGCTGTTTAAGGAACTAATGAAAAATTTCGAACGCTTACGATAAGTTGTGGGCGATGAACAAAACATTCAAATAAAATATCCACTTTCAAGTTTCAATATTATTCCTAGAATCGTTTGAGCACCATAACGGATCTATACCTTACTCTTCCAAGAAACAAACATCACTGACATGATGTTGGAAATAACAATTATATTCCTAAACCAATATACTAAACAACTCTTTCGCTTAGACCAATTCCACTTCAGTTCACTCACCTCAACAACACTTCTTCAATCTTATAATAGGACACTCAAATTTCATCAGTTCGATGAAAACTGCACAGAAAAACTTCAATAACTGATACTTACCCAATACAGATGGCTGTTGTTGACTTTGTTGCTGTAGTTCTGCGATCGTATTTCCAATATTCTCCTCATCAACATCGAACTCATAGTCACTGAACGGCGAAAACGGATCAGTTTGTGATCGAGATTGCGCCGAATCGTCCCAGTGTCCGCCTGAGTTTGGTGCGTTCGGTCCAAGTGTAGGTATGGATGGTTTGGCTGAAAGACAGCAACAATAGTGAGTTAATTCGTTGGCCTTTCAATTCGCTCACTTCATCAACACTGCTCGTGATATGTATACATGATTTTGATACAGTGATGCACAGATGTCTCCATGCATCACTGCATTACAATCTCAACAGACAGCAAATAACAAACGAAGCGATATGGCCGCCTAATACCACTTCAACAGTGTGAACACATCCCCAGCGATATTCTTCTCGATGACTGTCATACTATCAAATTAACGGTGATGACTTGCAGACAAGATAAAATGTCTAGACAAATTACGTTTTTTCGACGAGCTTTGTTTATTATCGTCTGAAGCTGCAGGAGCGGCAGTTCTCGCTGACGGATGCATGTCGATTATAGATGTGATCATCTGCGGTCCCAGTATACGTGCATTCCTTTAATCGACACAAATCAGAACATAACCAGAAGAAAGGCTTTCAACCAAGGCAAGCATGACGAATTCATAGCAACAAATTCACATTGTTCATTTCATACCGAAAAAAATGAAATCTAATAACAATAAAACAACGCATGAACTGAATGCTTCAATCAGTAAGTGCAGAGAATTGTTTAAAAAAACCAATAAAAGATTTGGATATTAATCAATTTCATTAACAAAACGACAAATAAGGAATAAGTCACATCAGCCAACTAGGCTATTGGAAGAGAAAATTCAATTCTCTTCAAGATAAGGTTTCCAGGGAATACGATGCTAACCCGTTCCTTGT